GCTTCCGCTGCTCAGGACGAATATCCTGTCCACGTCCTTGATGGTCGACAGACGGTGGGCGACGATGATCGTCGTTCGGCCTTGCTGGGCCTGAAATGGTTAGTTCATATAACAATGAAGAGCAGCCATGAGACTCAATTTCGTTGCTTGCAAAGCAGCAGTGTCGTGGTGATTACTACATTGGTCATAGAATATATGCTACATATTGTTTTGACGCATTGGTCTTTCTCCTAGCATTAAAAAATTATTAGAACATAAATCAATGATTGATTTGAGAATAGTATCGACTGACTGAAACATACGAGTCTGGGAAAGACTGTACCCTGTTCAAAGCGTCCTGAACGATCTCCTCGCTTTGCGTATCCAACGCCGATGTCGCTTCGTCCAGAAGCAGTATTTTCGGATTGCGCACCAGAGCCCGGGCTATGGCTATTCGCTGCTTTTGTCCACCGGAAAGCTGGACCCCTTGCTGACCGACTCTGGTGGCGAATTGCTTGAAAATCGCAGATTGACGACTAAGCACACCTAGATGACGGACCACAAAATGCAGGCCCCTTACCTGTGGCAGATTGTTGATGAACGCGTATACGTTGGCCACTTTCGAAGCCTCGATGATTTCGTCGGTCGTAGCATCCTGATTGCCGAGACGAATGTTCTCCTCGATACTGCCGTCGAATAGCACCGGCTCCTGACTGACTATTCCGATCAGAGTGCGGAGCGAGCGAACTTGCAACGACCGCAGGTCAAAGCCATCGATGATAATCTCAACGTTCGATCGTAGTCGGATCGGTACTTGAAAAATGAGCGTTACATCGTGCCAGTACCTTTCCCTTGCTGCAGTCGTAGAAGCGGATTAGTAGATTAATGATCGTCGATTTGCCGGATCCACTGGGTCCAACCAGAGCCACCGTCTGGCCGGGCAAAACCGAGAAGTTTAAACACTTCAGAACCTAAGACAAGGTTGTGTGAAACATTGACTATGACAGACTAGTAGGAAACACACTTTGATTGTTTTCCTCGACGGGTAGGAAAAGCATACGTCATGGAACTCAAGTTTTCCGCAGATCTTTGATGGTGTCAAACCCTTACAATCTGTAGAATCGATCAGCGACTTCTGAAACAGAAAGTAAGTCAAGAGCCTGAACATGTCATTTTGGGCTAACGCACAGTGTCTATAATATCGAAAATCGATTTGGCCGTTCCCAGAGCCACTGCGATGCACGAATATTGTGGCAGAGCACTGCCCAACGACATGGAGCCGGTCATCACTGCGAAAAATACAGTAAATATGGTACCTCTGTCAAAAAGCGGATCTGCGTTGATCAGCTTGGAACCATACCTGGAAAGCAGTGTTATTGGTAATGCAACCAGTGGCGAAAATAATAAAAGGTGTCCCCTCTGTTCAGTGACGACCCCACTTAGAATTTCGAATGGCATTACTAAACACGCCGCTTAGATACCGTTCTTTATTTCGAACATCGTCCAACAAATAAATAATTCCACCAGACGCCAACAGCTAGTTTCGTCAATTAGAAGACCACCATTAGATGACCGCACTTTTCATGCAATCCCCTGTGGCCACCACTGTCAGAAAATTGACAATTTACTACCTTTCTTCCAACTAGCTGCACCGAAGCAGACCGGGAGGAATTCCTTGCCTGAAGGAATTAATATTAAATAGCAAAAATTTGTCTGCTACGTATAAAACTGTGTAATTAATATGGCCTAGACAAATATGAGTCAGTCAAATTTATTTAAGTGAACCCTAAGGTAAACGATAAATTACCAAAACCTAGATTAAGAAAATATACAACTACCACACAAATAATGGAAGACTGCGCCTCTACGAGGCTGAACAGAGTCTTCTCCAATAAAATTCTTTTTACTTTGGGATCGATCAGACATCATACATCAAACGGTTCAAGATGAAAAAAGTTGATGTCATTCTGGAAGGAAGGAGTACCACTAGAGGGAACTAAGCGACACTTGAAAAAGGTTAACATCAATGAAAGAAGTTGATTTTTCAGTGAGTCTTTGGTATCGAAGCGCTACAGGAAGGTAAGGAAGTGACACTAAGATAAGCATAAAAACTAGATGAAGACAAGCCCTTATTCAGGACAATTGAGCGATGCGGTCTTGCATGAAACTAGGGCCTGCTAAAATTGCCCCCCCCCGCCACCCATGCCACTAAAAGCAAGATGCGGTGCATTACCGCGGTTCAACTTGGTTTAATGACCACCAGACGTACGCCACCAGAATATCGCATTGAGGTAAATACTTTGCTTTACGTCCTCATCGTGCAAATCGGTACCAGTAGCTAGAAGGACGTTTGCCAACAGAATCGATGAGCTGTCATTTTCGGTAGCTGCCCCAGAGCATCAGTGATATCGTATCTTTTCTTTTCTGCATCAGATAAGCACTTTTCACAAGATGCTCCATTCATCTCGTCCATCGGTCGATAATTTCTATTCAGATAGTGCAACGGATAGCAAAAAACAATTTCTACCTTCTCCGATAATTATTTCACACGATAGCCCAAACTTTTCCCAGCTCGTTATCACAGTCAGACTTCTTCTCTTGACAAACTCATATCATCTTAGTGTGGATGGCAAACCTTCGCTGCAGTTATAGCGCCCCAGGCATGTGCATTGCACTTTGGATTGCACATTTTGCCTTGCAGAGGCTCTCGACCTTTCTCTGGGGAATTGTCCCTCATTTTCGGATATGGATTACAGAAAGCCAGTTTTGAACAAGCCCCATTTCAATTGTTTAATATATCATTATTCTTCAGAGACTGGCGTGATTTTTTAAACTTGACTGCATTTGATTAGCTAAAATAGTTTACATAATCTATTTGACAGAGTATGACGAAAATACGATTCAATGTCAGTATACAAAGATAAAAATGATTCAAAACAGAAGACCTTATCCGCTGCTTAAAGTCACAAGGACAAGAGGAATAAACTTATTCATACCAACGTTTTGAATACAGTGTTTATGTTCATGGCAGCGCAGAACAGCGTGAGGTGTTTAAAACGTTGCTATAAATGAAATTATTTGCTTTCTCTTTGCGCCTTTAAATCTTAGTTGAAAAAATATTTTGTTTTAAAAGATTCTTAGGTCAAACGGGTGTCTCGGAAATCTCTTCACCTAGTTAATCCGGTATAAACGATTTAATTAATAATCGGATTAGATTCAACGTTAACAAACAGGTCTACGCTTCACCTCGTTTGAGTCCAATTCTTCAAAAGGTGAGGCACATTTCATTTTAATCTTTAATTCTTAAAAATATGAAAAAGTGCTCAATTTCTGTGAATTCATTTAGCTGGAACGAGAAATGAGGTTGTGGCAGTGGTTCACAAGCGTTAGCACAATGAATGGACACTCGACCCGTTTTCGGGGCGCGGACGAGGACACGTCGAATGGAGAGTGGAGATCAAATGGTATTCTATAAGAAGTTGGAGGGATAAATTCGACATCATGAAAAAATTACTTAAAATTGACACTGACAAAAGTTAAACTGTTACCCAAAAACACAAGGACAATTTGTACGTACCAAAATGACAAAGCGTACATTGCAAACAGCGAAACATGCACAGCGCCAAACATGCAGCCGATGACCAGGTTTCGTTTGTAGCCCATTGCTCGACATTCTTCCAATGCTGCCTGATACCTGAAACTTGTCTGCTTTAGTCGTGAACAAAAATACAAGGATTGCTAGAATCAACCGTCAGGCGAGGATGGATAAAAATATTTTGACTCATTAGATATCGGTCTTCCAATTGGCTATATTTGGAGTGACTATTTTTTCACGGAGATATTCTTTGTTTTTTGGCTTCGATTTTTTGAGCCTTGTGCAGACCATCGCACTGTACGTTCACTTACCAGGTTGGTCAACGCGAACTGCAGTCGCAAGAAAGCACTCACATCTGACACCACAATCGTATTTCTAGAAAACACCAGAACACCACACTGTCCATATTTGTTCACAGCGAGTTTGTGAATTTGCAAATCAATTTGTGAACCAATTTCTCGGCTGGTCGCACCGAAGCAGCAATAGTGAATGCTACACTGAAGGGAATTAACGAATATGGCAATTTTTCCTTATTCAAACGTGACACCTCCCGAGTTCGGAGTTGATTTATTACAACTACGCCGCTGTCCTCCATCTTTACGCTTTCGGTCATGAACTTCATATTTTGTAACCTACTGCTGTTGCCTCACTTCTATACCGTCGTACAGCATTGATCGATATGAGTATTTGCCTTAGGTTGTACAGCGAAACGGCATCGCTTCTTCTGCTCAAAGCCTATAAGATGATTTAGGCAGGCAAACGCTCCTTAGAATTTGAGAACGTGCAGTGGGCAGATACAAAGTTGCATCAAAGTGTTGGTTCGAACACTATACAGGATCATGGGTACCAAAGGGGTTGTGTTTGTGTGCAAAACAGGTGCTTCTAACTTGAAATCATTATGGAAACGGATGGGTAGATAAATGGATGATGTTGAGCATTTCGTTCCTGCGTTGATGGTCATGCTGAAAACAGCATAACGCATTATATTTTTGCAAGCACTCCTGAACGAATCACTCAGGAAAAATTGAAAGCGTTGCCATCGGCCAAGAGGAACAGCAACTGGAAAAAACATCCGGGATCGTGCAGCTCTCGACATAGGAAAAACTGCCTCTGCTGGTCACAGTACACCGCCACCATCAGAAAAACACCTTGGCTGAAGAGGGGTGTCACGAGGCACTAATCATCCAGTAAATGACAACGTCAACCGCTACACAAGATACGAACTCCGCGTTGATTGGTTAGCTTGTCGCCCAAGCCTACTTAACCACGAAATTACTTAATGAGCAGCACGGACCAAAATACTGCCTTCTAGCTCTGAAGGTATGAACTGCACTGAAATTAAAGAAGCTCCAAAGTCAGTCAGCAAACATGCTTGCCTTTAGGTAGAACCTTGAGACACGGGCTGATGAAATGTTGGTAAGGCAATCACGCTATTGACAAGATGTTGGTGTTTTCGCATAAACGACACACGTCTTATGCTGTTTTCATAATGGAGGGATAAGTATATTTAAAATTCAATCCTTCAACATGGACGAAGGAAAAATGAAGAAATGGCAGCGTCTTATATTAATAAAAAACATAAAGAAAATTTGCCACTACTGACCTATTGACCTACCTGATCACTTCCTTCTTCTGACCATTGAACGCGTACACGGTTCGAATGGACGAGAACACCTCTTGAGCGATCGCTGCTGCTTTGCTATACCTCTGTTGCTCGATCCGCGTTATGAACGACAGAATCTAAAATCGAAGCACCGCTTATTCTCTAGCTCTTGAAGCTACACAGTTTTCAAGTTCGCAGTACGTTGAACCATGCTTTGAAATAATCGATGAAACAGAATCGCTGTTCATGATATTAATCTACAACTCTAGTAATTAACACTTTCCCTTTGAGTGGCTACAAAAGAGAATCTGAGAAAACTTATGACAGACTAACAAACTAGTTTTACAGCTAATGATGGATTTATGTAAACGAGCATTAGAAGAAGAACGAGAAAAAGCCATGAAACTGGACACTCTAGTGAACAACGCAGTGGAAAGAAATCATCGCCAATTCATGAACAGGCCGCGACATGGTTCGAAATGTCCTTATAGCTCCATGTTATTGAACTATTTACATATTGGTTTGAATGATTGATGGTTCAGGGCACCAAATACGGCAGATGGAAAACAGTTTAATGCCAACGTTTTAGTATATGGGTCGTAGCATCATCATTAAAGCTGGTCTGAGTACAAATCACTGCTCGAAGGTGTTCGTGTCCAACATGCGAACAATGCCAATTTTTCTACTGGCTTATTCTGTACACTACAAACGTTGTTAAACTGTCATTTGTACTCAGTCCAGCCCTGATAAAGATGCTATCTATGCAGTGAAACGCGTTGGCATTTAACGGTTGTCCCTCTGCTGTATTTGGTGCCCTGAACCATGGATCATCAAACAGCTATATGCATAACCATGGGCTCGAAATCAGAAACCTGAATTATCATTTATTAGTGTACTATTGTTCTTTAAGCTTGGGTTTGAGCATTATCCGTGGTAAGTTGTACTAATTTTGAGTGATATTATGCATCAGATAGGACATGTATATTAAATCGTCATCTAAGATGGAAAGCTGAGAGGCTACTTCATAAGTGCTGCTCGAAAGCGCCATTACGTCGTTTATCCACGCGGCTACCTTCACGATTGAAGATCTTCATCTTTTTTGAAAAACTCTGAGTAAGATAAAAGGAGCATTTAGAAAATCGTTAATAGTCCTTTCATTGCTTAAATGGTTTCGTTTCTTGTCCAAAACGGATATTAGTCCATGTTGGAACTATGCAATAGATGGATCATTGGTACCACACCTCTCCATCATAAGTTCGAAGAAGGATTCTGCTATAAGTACATATGAAACTTATTGCTGATGTGAACGTCAGTAGCATTTTTATATCAGTGACTAGTGTAACGTTGCAACAGTGTCGAAAAAAACAGGATTTACGTCTTGTGCTGATTGTCGTTTTACACCGTCATCTGTCAGATGGGCCAACGCGAATGGTTGCCCTTAAAGGCTCTCGCGTTTGACAGTACGACAACAACAGAACACCATATTGTTCTTGTTTGAAAGTCAGAGACTTTCTACCCGTTTCTCGACAGACTGCACCGAGGTTTTATCATAATAAGTGAGTTCTTTGATCAATGGAGTTAGCGATTACGAGAACTTTAAGAGCTTCGAGCTTGCGCCTCTGGAGTTCGATTCCGACCTCGTACCAAGATCTGACCGTGTCTCCATAAAAAGTCTTTTTCGTGTGCTTACGCTTCCTGCCCAAGCGCCGCTGCCGGCCAAAAATGGCGTCAACGAGAGCATGACCAGAGTAAGTCGCCAGTTGTAAACGAAGCCAATA